CACAGAAGCCACTCTCACTGGCCCCCCGCTGCCAAAGCCTTGCCATGTAACCCCAACACAGATACCTACAGGATGACACAGTCCACTCCACCTATTCCTCTGCTCTCTCCACAGCAGGTCATGGAGGAGAACATGGGACCCACAAGGTAAGCAAAGGGGCTGAGAAGTGGATCACACACGTTAAATGCCTTTAACTGATGTACACAACTCTGGCACTAGCTCCCTTGTCATCTAACTCCAGCAAGTATTTATTAATGAAACCCTCCAGATTGCTGATTCATTTGATTGTTAAAGCTTGTGGAACTCGTACTGTTATTATTCATTGTTATTAATGTTCACAGCTCAGCCTCTCTCTTTCCAATATGCTCCACAGAGGAAATCGAAGGCTGAAGCCAATTGTTGCAGTAAATGAGTGATGGAGGTGCCGGAGGACAGGACAGAGCCCGTTGCTCTGGGACTGGGGCAGGTTTTTGGGAGTACGTTGATCTTCATGCACAGGGACTGCAAAATGAGCAGCTGTTTCAGGTGGGTTCTCTGGTCTGGGCACTGCTTCCTCACTCAAGGCTCCAGGCAGAATCACCCTAACAAAGCTGTTGGTGCACAGGAGCACTGACCCAGGCCAGGTTCTGATCTACGTGCAGAAACAGGTCTGAGGTCAGCAAGAGCGTGGCTCCTGCTAGACAGGTCCAACACAATGACCCAGACAGATGCTACAGGCCACGTGCACAGTCTTATGGAAAGCACATCTCCATATGATGGCACGGACTGAGGAAAAGCAGCACTGGTTAACCTCTGGAAGCTCTCTCCACTCCTCTGTGACTGCTCATTCCTCACCCAAGGCCTAGGAAAACACCAGCAGGGCACACAGATGGTACCTCAGAGCTCAGGAGTGCAACACCCCAATGTGCTGTGCCAGCAGCAAACAGCACACTCCCTGCTTCAGCACACTCCCTCTCCTTCCCTTCTCCAAGCCTCCTCCACCTTTCCACAGCCTCTGTGCTACACAGTGTTTGCCCATTCTTGCACCACATATATACTCCCCAGGCCAGGATGGTCCTGCTCCTGCCTGTCTGGTAGTTGGAATGCTTCTAAATCCTCAGCAGCATTCTCATGCCAGCTCTCCAGAACAATATATTTGTTCATGTTATATCTTTGGAGTCTACAGAGCTGTCACATACCATGTTCAACCCATTATTCATCTCAAACAGAGAATTCTGCAAAGCAAGAGGAAATAAAAGAGAGTTTAATACAGCTTTACTAAAATGGAATTTGCCAAAGACTCACAGAAAAATGGATTTAATTAGGGCTGCTAATGGAGAACAGTTTGTTCCTGTGATTTAAAGCAGAAGTTAGATAGTGTCTGTAATTTCAACATTTTTAAATTATATATAGGGGGTTATTTCTCATTTCTACCTTAATTATAAAAATCCATCTTTATGAATCACAATTTTGAGGCAAATAAAGCAAAGGCAGCAAAAATGATGTTTTAGTTAATAAAACTTTTAAGAACTCACCAAAGAAGCAAAAGACACTTCAGCATGAATAAAACAGACTTAACATAGCAAATCGTAGTTGCAGACAGTCCTCTGGATGCTACTTAAACACTAGGCTATCTGTTAGAGTTGCAGGCATTAACTGGCCTAACATGCTCCAGCTAGTAATTCCAAATTCCAGAATTTTCTGCCACCCATTCTCCCATTCTTAAATTGATTGCTGTCAGAATTTCTGACTTGCCTGCAAATTGTTTCTCCATATTAAAGGGAATAAAATGATAAAACCATGAGCCTCCTCTACAGCCTAACAAATGTTGCTTTTGTGAAATTCCTCCTGTCAGCTGGCTCTGACCACATGACCTAAGTAAATGAGTCCCAACACTGTAAAGCACTGATTAATTTAATTACCAATAGCCCAGATAACTGGTGAGCAAGCTGGGCCTAGCTGCTGTCACTGCTGCAGATTCTGCACCCACCATAATGCATTTTAATATTGCACCTTAGATCAGAACGGAATCAATGAGTGAAGTTCAAATGTGGCACATTTCCTGTTTCTCTGACAGCTTATTTCATGGATCACAGGGACCAAAGTACAGTTGCTTATTCAACAGAGGAAAGAATGAATCAATTTTCATTCTTTAACACACTGTGTGACCTATTCTCTGATGTTCTATCCTTTACAATGGCTCCAGTCTTTTCAAGACCTTCAATTTTGTCAGATAGAGAAAATTTAAAATAATGACAAAATGCCCTGCCCTAGGTCTGCTTCCAGCTGACTGACTGCTCTGCTGGTAATAAGTCCAAATGAAAGCTATTATGTCACTCAGGTTGAATTAAACAGACAAACTATAATCCTAGATCATTAAAAATGAAACAATCTTCTGGAAGATTTCTGTGATCTCACTCCAAGTTCCCCACGAAAGGTGCTGGACACCACAGAGATTCTGATCCTCATGGGCTTCAGTTTCTTCCCCTACTTCAGAACATGAAGCAGTAACGTGACAGGACAGCTGCTGACCCTCACACTGTGCTGGAGCTCCTGTGCCTGCCAGCGCAGTGGGCTCAGCACAGGGCACTGAGGAGAGGTGCAGGGCCCCCTCCCAACCTGCCATCCCACAGAGCCCACCACGCTGAGCAAGGACACCACAGCTCTGCTGCTCTGCTCACCTGCCAGACTCCCTGAAGTTGCAGATAATATTACAGTTCTTTAGGTACTGCTAGTTTGGGCAGAATTAACAAACTGATATGGGTAATTTTGCAATTTCAGTGTAAAATCTTTTTTTTTCATTTAGAAATATGCCAAGGTATTGTGGTTTTAAATACCCTCTGTGTGCCTTGTGTTTGTCTTCTTTTATTATTAATCCCAGTTCACTGGTGATACTTGCATTGCTCCTGTCATTTATAACTTGGTTTCAGCTTGCACTTTCTTACTGTAATCATTTTTCAGATGAGGAAGATCAGATTCTGCAAAGGAGAACACAGCACAAGGGCGAGTGCTGTGGGCACCCCAGGCAGGTGTGGGCACCACGCTGACACCCCAGAGCCAAGGCAGCAGGGCTCCCTGCAGCCGTGCTGAGGGCAGTGTGCAGGAGCCTGGCACCAGGACAGACAGGCAGCTGAAGTACCAGACAGACAGTGAACCAGAAAGCATAGCCTGAACTAGAAACCCTGGAAAGGACACACTCAGAGACCTCCAGAGGCAAAGAGGATCTCTGCCTCTACTTTCTCAAGCTCTCCCTCTCCTGCCTCATACTTTATGACTGACCCCATGAGATTTGCCTGGCCTTAAGACATAAAGGTAATAAATCAGGCCTTATCAGAATATTACCCAGACGAAACGCACATATCACAGCCAGCTTTATTTGCTTTCTTCTCTGCATATCCACTAGTTCAAATATAGGGCTTTCAAAGCAGTGGATTTAACAAATATCAGTACTTCAGGGCACGTGGGCAGACAAATTGCTTTTTCCATTTCATAAGATGAATCTGAGAAGAGCACGGGTCACTAAATGGTTGCAACAAATGTTCTAGTGTTTAAGCAGGCCATGAGCTGTTGCTAGTTTGATTTGTTTGCCCTTGGTAGATTAATTTTCCCTTTTTATTTTCCTGCCTTTTGTGAAAGAAGTCCAGGGACCCATCACAGCTCGGGACAGCCCAGCACCAGCAGCTGTTCCACTTGCTGCTTTGGTCTGGAAGCAAACAGGACACTGGTGTTTGAACTGTGAGCTCTGCAGTATCTGCCATCCCTGTTCTCACCCAGCCGGGAGCGTACTGCAGCTACACAAAACACCTGAACTTCCCAATGATCAGGTTTTAGCACAGTTCTGGAGGATGGTGATGCGGGATGAGGGAGGCTAAGGGATATGGGAGGCTGAGCAGCCAGCAGCTATTATACAGTCAGCTGCTGCACAAATGGAGTTGGATGAGGTTCACCCGATCAGCTTCGGGTGCACAAATGAGAACTGTGCACGCAGAGCTGGGCACATGCTGCCCACAGAGGTTACACACTGCACCCCTGCCACCAGCACCCATTGGAGACAACTGCCTACTATGCCCTGAAGAAGTAATGTGTACAATGGAGCTCTAACAAGATCTTTTCCCTTCAAATAGTGTACAAATTAACAGTCAGCAGCATTTGAAAAATGGCCCTGATCCCTGTCCACATGGGGAGTTTGTTCCCAGTGCAAAGTGCCAGATTATGACAATGATACATACTTCAAGTGGGTGAAAACAAATGAATAACAACACCCTGACAGTAGTGCTGTTCCTGAGTGCTTAGGAGCTAGGTAAAACTGACAGTGCAAGATAAATATGGCACTGAGATGAGATGTTGCAGTGCATGGCTGGTCAGGGGAATCCAAACTCACTGGCCTTTACAGATGGGTTAATTCTAAAGGCTGCATTTGATTCTGAGCAATAGTTGCTCTCTGAGCAAATAGGGAAGGCTCAATCTGTGGGAGGACTGAGCCACAGGCAGTAGTCCCATTTGTGAAGGAAGCATTGGGTGGTCCTAGAAACAAGGGATGTGAGTTTGCTTGTTGCTTCTGCATCCCCAAGTGTAGGCTGACCCCCTGCCCACCCCCAGAGGGTCCAGCCAAACACGGGTGGACAACTCACCTAACAAGACAGTGAGGAAAGGGGGACTGTCCCCAGCCAGAGGCATCCTCAGCACACACCAAATGTGCACTAGCTCGTTTTCATAGCATCGGAATCATGAGGTGCCAGGGAAATTATTTGCTCTCAGGCTGACAGAAGAAGGGCAGTGTGACCCCTGAATCGCATGTGGCTCTTTACCTGGAATGCTGTGGAGTCCAGATGTACTCAGGGGTTTCAATAGAAGGAAGGTTTCAAGGAAGGCTTGGCCTGCTGCGGCAGGCAAGGATCACGCATTCCTTGAGACAACACAACTGCACTTTGTTTCCACTCTATTCCCTTCAGTATAAACGCAATCAAGGGCAGATCTTGTCTGTCCTCAGAAGATATGGAGCAGGTCACACATACCTGTACCTCTTTCCAGCAGCAGAGATTTCAGATCGCAATACCCTCACAGTGCACGAGCCTGGTGAAATCATGGCTGCAGTGATGGCAGGATGATCTCTGAGCTTCTTACCCCAGGCACTCTCCTCCCCAGGAGGAGCCGGTTCCTGTAATTACAAAGTGGAGCCATATCAGAGGAAAACTAATCAGCTTGCTGGATGCCAAAAAATTAAATATTAATCTAACTATTGTGAACACAGAAATATTCATCTTCAGATATTTTCTGGCACAAGTGTCAAAATCAGAGTGGAACTAAGGCTTTATTCATTTTCCATTATCAACTTAAATAAAAACAGTCAGAAAAATGGGCAATGATGTGCAGAAACCACTCAGCAGAGATAATTACAGAGTAAGTTTAGGCAGCTAATCACTTCTAGAATATGCTTCAGATTCAGATAACTGACTGGCTTGTTTCCCTGCCTTGTTAAATCAGACAGACTCTCAGCTTTGCCTGATGAGGATGGGACTCCCAGAGTCAGCATCTTTAACTAACAATAGGGCTGTTTGGCAGGCACGGACACTCATCCCCACCAGCCAGCAGCAGGATGGGAAATGCTGTCCCTACATCAGGAGAGAAAGATGCAGCAGAAGCAATGGCAGAAGGTGGGGCAGGCAGCAGGCAGGGCAGGGACAGTGGGAGGAAGGCAGGGCAGAGCAAGGCAGCTCTGGCAGCAGAGGGACAGAGAGCCATAGGCAAAGACTCGTCGAAAAACCAAGGAGTGGCTGCAGCAGGATGGGAGGACAGCTGTGAGAAGCCACAGCCTTGCAGGTGTCCATTCCCTGCAGGATAGTAGTTCTGGCCTTCATGGCACTCACGCTGAGGAGCTCCTGGGGCTGCCCAGGAGCAGCCCCTGCACAGCACTTGCACCCACCCTGCCCAGCAGCCATAGAGCAACTAACCATACTTACACCAACTGGATTCTCCTTCAGGGGAATCACTGTGGGCAAGAGGCAATTTTCCACAGCCCTCCTCAGGCCTGTCAGGCCCAACCCTCCCAGCACTGCCAGTCCACGAGCTTTACACTCCAGTTTCAACACGGGCCTGAGTGCTGCTGGAGGCCGTGGCAGTGAGCAGCAAAGCGAGCTCCCGCTGGGTATGGGGCAGTGAGCAGCAGGGCGAGCTCCCGCTGGGTATGGGGCAGTGAGCAGCTGGGTATGGGGCAGTGAGCAGCTGGGTATGGGGCAGTGAGCAGCAAAGTGAGCTCTCCCTGGGTATGGGGCAGTGAGCAGCAAGGCGAGCTCCCGCTGGGTTTGGGGCAGGTGCTGCTGGTAAAGGGGACACCCACCCGAGACAGAACACACTCGGCTGCACTCTGGGTAATCTGCACTTGCCAGTGCCTCACCACCACAATTACCTTATCAAGAATGGAAAAAACTCCCCTTTATAGTTCTAGTGGAACACCCTTATATTCTCAATCACTAATTTACATGGGTTTTTTCCTTGGAACTAAGGCAGGAATTATTTTTACAACGGCATTCATGCATTCATGTATATTCTCTCTTCTTCTTAATTATTAACTTTGCTGTAGTAAATAAAGGGTGTTTATGAATTCCATCAATCTCAACAAACCTTTTGCATTAAAGTACTGAACTAAAGTTCTTCTAATGAAGAAGCAGTATTCACTTTTGCTTTATTTAAAGGAATTAAATGATAAATATAGTCCTCTAGATGCTCTTGTGCAGTTTCTTAAATTCAAAAGCCTGCCAGAAATTATGCCTGACTTACTAGCTGCTTCATTATAACAGCCTAAAGGATAGGAATGGACTGGAATAAATTGGAAGTTTAAAGAGCCTGCAGGCCCTTCAGCAAGACAGAGGCTTTCAGAGGTGGCAGCAGCTCTGTTAGTTAACATGGTGCTCAGTATTCTGCTTTGCAATGTCTCTGTCAGGTTCTGTCCACCAGCCAAACCCTTCAGCGACGTCTCCGAACGCTGCTCCCGCAGGCTCTGCTCACAGCAGTGCTAGAACTGCTTTGGAGAAAATGTTGAAATTCCATATTTACTTCCCTCAGCACAGTCTGTGTCCAGCCTTTCTTTGGTCATACTGATAGGCTTGTATTCTGTTGAATGCTGGGCTGCACAATTTCCTATCCTTAAGATCCCCCCAAAGTAGAATGCACAAGGGAAGTGCCAGCCACTGGGGTTTTCAGTTTGGTCCCCAAGATTGGCCTCACCATTGAAAATTCATATTTCTAGTGACACACAAACTAAAGCAGTAGCTGTTCCTGGGGGTTACACATCCCAAGGCATCTCTCCCAGCTATTTATAAATGGTATTGCTAAACAGGTATTGTCAGAGTTTCTTCTTCCAGCAGGGTTTCTTATTCTGAAGAATTCTTTTCAGTTTTCCTGAAACAGGCATAGTCTCTTCTGTTTTCTAAATAATCAGAAATTTGTTGTTCATCTTGATTTAAGAAAGCCATGCCCATTGACTATGTGCTGCTTAGGATCCCAAGGGCTCCGCACAAGCCACTGACAGAAGCCAGTGAATTATTCCAGTTAAACAACATAAACAACTCAAGCTTTTGTTGACATAAACCAAAAATGACCATGCTCTCATTGTGAAAGAAACTGTGGTATTAGAAAGCATAGGCTTGACAAGACAAGCTAAAACCTACAGTCCTCATATTCCAGTAGGCCTATGCCATATTAATTATTTATCAAGATGTTTTCTTAAAGTAGTGTCTTTGTGCCTTTAATTTTCAATTCCCTTAATGCTAGGAGGATCTCTGCTGGCAACACATCAAATATTAATAGAGTTAAAACAATATTTGTTTTCCCCCAAATACATTTTTGAATGCTGTCCTCATACCAGTTAGGTTTTTCTGAAACTTTAATGAGGATCTCTGATTTCCTCCAGATTCATGGCTGAGACACAGGCTTGGCTGGGCCTTTGATTTGGCTGTCAGAGCACATGTGGCATCACGTCCTCACACTGCTCATCCCACTGGGGCTGGGGGAGTGATCAAGCAAAACAGCTGTGATGAGGCAGGAGAAACAGCAGCACATCTGTAATTGGGAATTTCAGTTGCTGAGTTCAGAGGTTCTGTTGTTCTAGTGACTGTTCTGCATTTTTTTATTTCGGTAGCTGTCCCCAGGCTCAGCAGAGAGAGCCTGTGCTTCGCTCTGCTTGGAATACTTTTCTCCTAGCAAAGAAAACAACAGTGCAGTTCCTTTAATCTATGAGAGACACGTTTCAATTCAGCAAAAGGATACTTGAAACGTCATGGGTTTAAGAATTTTATGCAATCTCAGCCACTTCTCTCTCTGTCAGGGAGCATATAAAAAATTAAAACCCCAAATACTTCTTATTGCTTTTCTAGGCCCTAATTACAAATACATTTTCACAAGGAGGAGTCAACTTAAGCCTAATATTGTTCAAAATCTCATAATTTCAATACAGTCTTCACTTGATGTGGATTGGTAATTGGAGCTGTGGAATCAATTTTTCCTGTACTTGAAACACCCAAATGAGTATGAAATGTGTTGCATTTGTTCCACGCACATCCACAGTTCTGTACTTTGCTTGGAGTGGAATGATCATTCTGATGTATTTTTTATAACAGAGCAGTGTTTCCTCAGACTTTGATGTTTCACGTACAGAGCTATTATAACCATTTGCCATTTAGGTGCATGATCCATGGCTAATCTCCAAAGCTTTGATGCATGCAATAATTATTACTATTGATGTCATTGCACCATATTTAAAATGTGAATGTCTCATTGTAAGTCTACAGCTAGCAGAAGAGGAAGGCAACCGGTCCACACCAAGACTGGAAATTCCCCGTTGGTAAATGTCTGAAAGAGAGTAAGGTGACATTCCACAGTGAGGCACTGACTGTGCTGGGGGCAAGGACTCCAAGAGCAGGAGGGTGATGTGATGTGTGTGCCAGTCTCTGCACTGAGAACAGCTCTGGGAAATTGAGCACTGGGGTCTCCAGATGCCACATTCTGACAATCTGCTCTTGAAGTTTGACCCTGAACTCAGCCATATGGCATGTTTCAGGCACCTCCTGCACCTAGGGCAAATTTTATTTGTGGCCTGTGTCACAGGCATTCTGAAGCCCAGTATTATTCAAACCATGGTTTCCAGACCTGACTAAGCAAAACACCTGGAAGTACCTCAGAGTTTTCTTCTGCCTTGTCATGAAATCTGGGTCTGGATAGATTGTTAACTGTGACATTGCCATGAGTGTTTTCAATAAGGGCTGCAAATATGTGGGCATGTATTAACACTTTCAGCTTACTAAAAAGTACTTTACAGTAACTCTCTAATTACACCAAAGCAAACTGCATTAATTTTTTCTTTCTTAAATATGTTATCCCAGAGGCGTTGGAGACATCACTGCTGGGCTTGGCCTTGGCCAGCAGCGGGTCCATCCTAGAGACAGCTGGCATTGCCTCCACTGGGCACGGGGAAAGCTTCTGGCAGCTTCTCACAGAAGTTACCCCTGTAGCCACGCCCTGCTACCAAAATCTGGACATGCAAACCCAATCCAACAGTGTGCAATCATGTTCTCTGGCATAACACCAAGTAACACATTAACCCTGGCTCTATGTGCCTGACATTTCCAGCATCAGTCTTGGCTTTCTACCTATTCAAACTTAACCTGCAGGAAGTGGGATGAACAAGGCTTGCTCAGCACCTGTGGCACTCTCCCAATCAGTAGCAGCCCAGGTCTCACTGTTTAAAGCACACAGCAGGAGGAACAAATGAACAAGCCTCGACAAGAGGGAAGCAGCTGAAATACCCACAATGAAAATTCAGTGTTGAAAATGCTCTGAAATTATTTTCATTCTTTTCAGGCTTACATTGAATATCATTATTTTGTATTACTAAACATTCGACTTCATTTTTAAAAGTGATTATAAAACTGAGAATAATGATGATATTGTGTTACCTTCCCCAAGGTGGGCATCAAAGGTAGAAAGTTGTGTATTTAACTCACGAGGCTACAGATGGGATGTAGGTACCCACACAGCTTCTGAGGTCCAAAATGGGACTCTGGAAACGATCCAGGTAACCCTGAACTCTAAAGGAGAGAGGACAGAAAAGATTTCTGCTGTTGCTGCCCTGGTCACTCTGTCAACAAATCAATGAAAGAGCTC